TGCTCCTCCTCCTCCTCCTCCTCCTCCTCCTCCTCCTCCTTCTCCTGGTCGCCCCTTGGGGGGGGGGCCACGAGCTCCGCCCGCAGATCGAGGTTCCAGGATCGAAGGCTCGAGGGCTTCTTGGACATTTGGGGGTCGTTTTGGAAGGCTCTGGAACCAAGGGGGGGAAAACCACCCGGACCAGACAATTGGCGTTTGCTAAACGCCCCTGGGCGTTTGCTAGACAGTCCTGCTTTGTTCGATTCCTCCTCTGGGCGCGTTCACTGAACGGCTTCGCGTGTCGGGGTGGTTCTCATCGGGATGGATTTTCTGCCCTCTACGGAAGGTTCTGGGGGGCTCGCCGCCTCGAGGAGGTGGCCTTTCCCCGAGGACGTGGCGACCCCCCTCGTGGTGAGCCTCCACGCCTCACCGGCTCCAGACGTGCCAATTTTGAACTGCGGGCGAGGGCGGGGATGTGTTGCTTGATTTCTTCCCTCCACCGTAGGACCACTTTGGATTCGGGAGGGGCTTTGGTGTTCGTGCCGTTCCTTGCTGCTGGAATCTGCTGGGGCGGGGAGCTTGTTCGCGGCGCCGAGGCTCACCGTGACCAGAAAAGCCCTGTCGTTCCTCATTGGCGCTCCTTCTTTCTGCTACGCGCAGATGGGGGTGGGGGGTGGGGGGGGGCTTCTTAGAAGCACCCCTGCTTCTTAGAAGACGCGGGCCTCATCTATAGATGAAAGGTCAGCGCCTTCTAAGAAGCAGCCTGCTTCTAAGAAGCCCCCCCCCCTCCCCCCACCCCCTTGTGCGCGCCGCCAACTTATGGTAGTATGACGACTGTACACCAGCTCGTTTTTCCCGTGCGAGGAGGAGGAGGGGAAGGAGTAGGAGGGGAAGCATTATTTGAACTTGTGCCCACGTTCTGGATGTCATGTTGCATCCTGGTACGGTGTTCATTAACACTCCAGGAAGGCTTCGCAAGCCGACCTACTTCAGAAATGTTGTGCGTCGCCATCTGAGCCCTCTTAGCTATCGTATGGATATCCATCGACACTAGAAGACTGGACCTCCGATTTACGCAACCGTCGCGCTTCCATTGCCACACCCTGACAGGCTTGACCCGAGAGGGCGTGATAACGAACAAGTTGCTCTCTTCATTCGTTCCCGAAGTTGTGGGTGTGGAAGGTTCAGCGAAGCTGCCCACCACTGGGAAATCATATTTATGTTTCGTGTGGGTGTGTCCAGTCGGGCAGGAGCTTCAGAGCACGATCTAGCACGACCATTCCAACGAGCTTCCAGCTTGTTGAGCCCCAGAATGTGTCCAGATCAGGATGTAGCCCGTCCTATGTGCACGTGGTCCTTACGACTCCTCCAATCTTCGAGCTGGGTTGTAGAAATCGCCCCCTTGCAGGGCTTGCGTAGACTTCGATGCGCTTTTAAGTCCATCGGCTACGACTCCCCTGCCCAGCTCGGGTGTACGTAGCCTCCTCTGCACTGGCGGAGCGTGGGGCCGCCAGCACCGCACGTGAAGTATTTCATGTTCTGAGCGTCGTCGTCGTCGTCGCCTCCGCGGCTCCTCTCTTGCTTTTCCCCTTGCACAGATGCACAATCCAGTGTGGCCCGGTCTAGGCCGAACGCTTTGTGTCCCACATCGTTGTGACAAGTAAACAGTTTCGTGTCGGTGTTCGGAGTGTGACTGTGCTCGCGGGGCCGGGCCGTTGCTCATGTGCTGTGCTCGTCGAACGCAGTGGCCGTCCGAGAAGACGCCTAGCCGTGCCCAGCGCAGCGTAAAATGATCTGGCCGTCGGTCGGCCACGTGATGGGGCAGCTCTGCTTGCACGGGCAAGAAGCGTGAGAGGACTGCGAGCCAGCCGCTGGCGGTCTTGAGCGCCAGCTGTGCCACGATGGTTCGCTCGTAAGACGCAGGGTAATGATATCTAAGAACCTTCAGAGGATCTCTATGCAACTGTTACCGACAGGGCTGATCTGCACGAGCCGACCGTCGGGTCGGGACGGAAGCCAGTCGACAGATGCTTAGATGATGGTAGTCTGATGGTGATTTGGGAGGTAGTGGCGACGATGGTTGCGAGTATTGTGACGACAAGTTTTGTGATTCCAATGCAGCTTATCTATCTGAAGTCAAGCTCAACAGAAGACAGAGCGAGTCGAATGTGACACGCGTAGGTTTGGCTCCGTTTGAGTGTGTGTGTGTGTGCGTGTGTGTGTGTGCGTGCGTGCGTGTGTGTGTGTGTGTGTGTGTGTGCGTGTGTCTCTTCACATCGCCAGAGCAGTCCCTCTGCCTAGCCGCCCACGGAACAAGTGTGTGTGTGTGTGTGTGCGTGTGTCAGTGTCTGGGGTCTGCCCGTTTTACTCGGGATTCCATGGCTTCGGCTTGGGCGCATTCGGCACACAGTCGAATTCTTTTTAGCTGGCGCATCTTGCTCGCTGAAGATGCAATCGTGCTGCACATCGCCAGTGGCTGAACAAGCGTGAGTGTATGGTGGAGTATTTGGCGTTGGAGATATGCAACTGTGGGATCCTTCCTCGCCAAAAATGTCCTCATCGGCAAAGACTGGTCTTAGGCATGTGCAGTCCACCCCTATTGAACCGTTGATAAGGGTGTTATTGCCACGCGTGCGTGTTGCACCCGTCTGGGTGGCACGCGCGGCGGGTACCACCGATCTGTCGCTTCAGGCTGCACGATGTCGAGCAGTAACAACGCAACTATGTATTTTGAGCGCATGCTTTCTTGACGATGGGCTTCCGTGTGACCAAAACACGATAGCGTGGTTCCATGGCTGTTTTGGCCCAACGGCCGCTCGGATTCAGACGTCCTTTCCGACGGCCGTGCTGCCTCTGCCGGTCTGCACGCGGGCAGCGGGCTTACCAGCAAGGTGCTAGCAGTAGAAATGCAGCCGCCCGCAGATGTAACAGACGGCGTTCAGGTAATTCTTCCCCTGACGCGCTTGTGCCCAGTACGCTGCCAACGAACTGATGAGACGGGTCTTGTGGAAGGCGGCTCTTCTGGCCATTCTCCCCAGAGACGTGAACTTCAGCGAGTCTGCCGTGATCTAGTTGGTTCGATCCTATCATATATGGCCCATTCTATCGCTATCAGTGTGCTTTCAGGGCATGCTCATGGGGTTATCGTCTTTCAAGGGGGGTGGGGGGAGGGGCTCGCCGTAGTGAAAATGAACGCATGCAGTGACGTTGATGAAAGGGCTTGGGACGGGAGGGTGTATTGCAGCATCGCTGATGCGCCTTGGTTATATTCCTGTCATCTCTTCTTCTCTTTCTGATGCACATTGATTTGGAATGGCCCGCCTCTTGTGCGTTTCGGCCCCTGTATGGAGCTGAGGAAGAGGCTCCTGGGCGGCACCTAGGTCAAAGCCTCTGGCTCGTACCAATGTCGTGCGTGGTACTCCTCCGTGCGCAGCCATTTGGGCTTGAGGTTTCTCCTCTCCTTCTTGGCGAGGGGGGGCCGACGGCGCTGGCCGTTGGTGCGACCGCGGCAGGTGAATAGGGTGTCTATCATCTTGGCCCGATTTTCCACCACCCCCCTTGGTGGGTTAGAGGCGGACAGAGTTCCAGACATCGAAGGCTCCAGCGCGCGCGGGGTCCAATTGCGCGTTGAGGTTTTCGGGCTTTGGAACCCAATGATCCTTCATTTCTGAAGTGGAAAGCCGGGCCTGGATATCAGGGACAGGAATGAGCGAGGACGAGAGCGATGGCGACCTGCCTGGGTACGGCGGAGGCACCAGCTACTGGGACAACAGGTACCTGGAAAGCACTGCGCCCTTCGACTGGCTCGAGACCTACTCTGACCTGCGCCCGCACATCGATTGCGTCTCCTGCGGCAACAGGGACATATCGATTCTCGACGCCGGCTGCGGGAATAGCCTGCTCGCCGAGCAGCTGTACGACGATGGATATCGCAACATCACGTCCATTGACAACTCGCAGGTCGTGGTGCAGCAGATGATCGCAAGACAGCAGCAGACGGCCCGCCCAGAGTTGCAGTGGCTCTGCATGGACGTGCTGGAGATGTCCTTCCCCGATTCCTCCTTCGACCTGGTCATCGACAAGAGCCTCCTCGATACGCTGATGTGCACGTCTGGCCCCGCCGGGGACACGAGCGCATACTTGCAGGGCGTGTTCCGCATCTTGCGATCAAGGGGCACGCTGATGTGCGTCAGCTACGGGAAGCCAGAAACGCGCGAATACCTGTTCGAATTGCAGCGCCGAGACTCTGAATTCGCATTCAAACTATACACTTGTGAGCTGCCTGCGCACCACGATGCTGCAGGTCCCCACTACTTGTACCTTGTAGTGAAGGTGCCCCTCTTCTGATTTATCCGCGCACCACGTCGTAACAGGTCAAGGTGCCCCTCTTGTGAGCTACCCGCGCACCACCTCGCCAGAAGTCCCCAGTACTTGTACCTTGTAGTGAAGGTGTCCCTCTTCTCTGGGGCGCTCTCATCATACTAGTGAGCCGCGCGTGGCGGGGGAAGGGGCTGTTAGCACATGAAATATCAGCAAAAGGCGATTTACGTCTGAGGCTGCAGCTGCTAAGCATCATGTTCCTGCCGTCGGCAGGCCCTTGTGCGAAAGACTCTCCATGATCGCCTGCCTCGTAAACCCGGCCATTTCCGCCCTCCCGTCTTCGGCCCCTCTCTTCGGCGGTCCGCGCGATGATAGCGCGATGTAGCGGGGTGCGGCGAGCAGATCGAGCCCGACGGGGAGTGCCCGAGGCTTGAAGGCCAGCACCCTTTACATTGCGTCTGCAGCCGCAAGACGAGCGGATGGCTCGGGAGAGTCCACCCCCGCTGCTGGTGCTACTCCTCCTCCTCCTGCTCCTCCTCCTCCTGCTCCTCCTCCAGAGTCATCTTGTCTCAAGTTCTGCCAAGCTCCGTGCTGGCCAGATGTCTCTACGGGATCTGCGGGAACCCGACGCCAGTACACATTCTCTCCAAGACCGAGAAAGACACGTTCATTTTCGTCCGAGCGTTTGTTGATTCACGTGGTGATGGGCACGCGAGTTGCATCGAAGACGCTTGCGGCGAGTCGCCATCACCCCCTGCCGTTGTGAAACGATTGTGCCAAAACGTGTCGAACCAGAGTGGAACCTCACCTGTGGGCCGGGGAGGGGCCCTCCGCGGCCGCCGTCTTGAGCCGTCTTGGAGGCCAGGGCTGGACCTAAACGCAGCTTTGCTGGGCTTCGGCTGTGTTTTGTTTTTCGCTTTGGCGGGGGAGGTACAGGCAAGCAGGTGGAGCAAAACGAAAAACGAAACGAAAACAAAACGAAAATCAACGTTTAGGGCCAGCCCTGTTGGAGGCCATGCTGGGCTATCTCAGGTGCTTTGTAGGCGGGCTTTCAAGGCATGAAGGCCTTGAAGTGGATTTTCGAGTGGCCAGCGCGACGGGCCAAAGGCCACCAGGAACATGTTGGAAGAGCCAGCAATCATGCCAAAATCTGGTACGCCGAGCTCCCCCCCACCTGGCAGGCTGCGGGGGCGGCTGATCCAGTGGTTTTCGGTCCTTCCCGCCACCGTGCCTGGGCCATGGCCCGGAGGCCTCACAGAGGACTCCAGGTCTTTCTTGAGGCCTCTTGAGCCTGTCTGGAGCCTCTTAGGCACTTGATGGGGGCCTGGAGGCGGTCTCGGGGACCATATTGGGGTGTAGGGCCTCAAACGCCTCAACGAGTTTCTCCTCATGGGGCCGTGTGGCATATTTGGCCCCTCTTGGAGGCTTCGTGGGGCGGCCTCGGGGGCCATCTTGGTCGCAGGTAAGACCCCAAAGGTGAGCATGCGAAAATTACGCACATCTGCGTGGATTTCTGCCAATGTGAGCTTCTGGCCCCCTTGAAGAGCACCAGCAATCCTCAGCTCAGAGAACTCGAAGAGACATGAGGACATTCCACGTCGTGCCTCGCGGCACGCTGGTGGATATTGTGTGTTTTGTCAAAGTGAGAGGGCCGAACGGTCATTCATTGTCCCTGGGCGCGTGGCTGAAGTGAGGTTCTGCGGTGCGGATTGTTCTTGTTTGTTGTCGCCGTCCCCCCCACGACCCGGCCCGCGATCCACCCGCGACCCACCCGCGACCCACCTCGCAACCCGCCCGCGACCCGCCCGCGGCCCACCCGCGACCCACCCGCGACCCACCCGCGACCCACCCGCGACCCGGCAAGTGACCCACCCGCGACCCATTCGTGGCACGCCCCGCGACCCTCCCACATTGCTTTAATGAAAAAATCGGCTCTTGCGGCGGGCTCACTGCGTAATTTGTAAAAGTTAGGCGCCTGCGGCGGGCTTCTTCAGAGCCTCGCAGACTGCCGACGTCCTTGCCGCCCCCTCACTCTTATCCGCAACTGCGGGATGCTACGTATGCGCATTAATCCAGATTCTGGGGCAGCTGAGAATCAGAGACCGACTTCGCCACGATGACATGTTGGACTCGCAACTCTTGTAGATTTGGTTTCAGGGCGGTGATCACGCTCTAGACAGGCAAGCCTCACTAGAAGCCCTCAACGGCTGGCGATTCGAAGAGCCTCCTGCGGAGCACGTGGAGCATTGTCCCGCGAAGACTAGGAGTAAGCTGGACAACCGTTCGGACAATCGTTCACCATCCGACTTCACGCAGTGCGGCGAGGACTGGAATTAGTACCAGACTGCAAATTGGACCAGGAGCTCAAACATCGTACACCACTACGTTGCGTGCGCCTCCGCGAATGATGATTTGACCATCGGCATATGCCGCAGCGACAACATGGACATGATAATTGGGAATTCTGCGCCACGGCACCCACAAACCAGTGCGACGAGTATGGAAAGATTGTTCGTGTTCTACCCGGACCTGACGCCGCTGCCCACGGCCGCACCCACGGCCGCCCCTGGCGCCGAAGCGCCAAATATTGTGCTGGCGCCACCACCCGTGCCGACGGCAGCGCCTACTGCAATGCCCACGCCAGCGCCTACGGCATCCCCGACGGCAGCGCCTACGGCAGCGCCAACGCCAGCGCCTACGGCAGCACCTACGCCGGTGCCGACTCTCGTACACACCTTCTCCGACCAGTGCACCCACTCCAGCTTCAACAAATATGCCAGTGCCAAATATCATGGTTCTACGTTGTCTTGTTCCGTTGAGGCAGGGGCGACGTCGATAAACATTCCAACAGACATGCTGGAAGGCCTCAGAGTAGGCGAGTGTTTTATCCTTGAGGGTGGTGGCAATTCAGAAAAGATTTGCATTGCAGGTTTTGGGTCGATCTTGCCAGTGAATCCCACGCAGTTCGCGTACTGCGCTAACACAATGCTCACACTGTTGAAAGGTAGCGGGACAATTCGACAACGAAGTCCAGATCATGGCAGTGTGCGGGACGACCCGCATGTGTGGCGAATACTTCGACATTCGGGAGGAGCCATCCAGTTACACCCTGCTCCGTGCGCCCTTCGACGAACAGGAGCCACCCACGCTTCTACTAAGCGCTGACTTAGACGCCGATGGCGTGCGGCCGTGCGGGCTTTTTGTCAAGCACCTTACGCTAAGAGAGCCTGGAGGATTCCTTATCTGACGAGGGCGGCAGTGGCATCCATTGCAAATCCACGATTGGAGCTTCACAGGCTTCCAGACCCTGGATACCTAATCCAGTGGTCCTTTGTCCAATGCCCTAAGAGTAAACCCCTTCACCACCCACTTTTGCTCTGCGGCCAGTGGCGCGGTGACACCAGAGGTCGGACGCCTTCACCAAGCGGAAGGCCCCAGCGGAAGAGGGAGCGAGAGGGACCTGACCGGCTCTAGGATCAGCATGCCCACCCATTCGCAGAGGCTTTCGTGGTGGCCGTATCGTGCCATTCCTCGGGGCTTGCTTGAGCCGTCTTGGGAGGTTGTTGGGCCAAGCTTGGGCCGGTTTGATGCCCTCTTGACCACCCTTCGGGCAAAACTGGGCAAAAGCGCATTGAAAGCAGCAAACCCTCAATTATGTGTTGTTCTTCTTTGGTTGAAATGGGTTGGGGGCCTTTTTGAGCGTCCCTGAAGCGCCCTCGTACGCCAATGGAGCCTCTTAGGACCTCTTCCGCTGTCTTGCAGGTCTCTTGGAATCTTTTGGGCCGTCCTGGCGGTCTCATACCGATCTCGCGGGCCACCGCAGACCCCATCTCAGAGACAATTTGCTGCGCGAACCCCTAGAGATTCCACGAGGCGGGGGAACACGTAGTCTCATACGCCTGGTGACCACGTGGGCTTAGCAGATAGGCCATCACCGTCGCCCCCTCACGCAGCTCCTGCTCTTCGTCTTCTCTCCTTTCGTTCTAGCGTTCCCCTCCTCGTTATCCGCCTGCTCGGTGATCCCAACCATCCTGTTGTGTTGGGTCCTCGTTTTGAATCCGCAGCGCCGCGCTCTATCTCTTTCCCCCCCCCTCCTCCTCCCCCCTCCTCGTCCTCCTCCTCCTCCTCCTCCTCCTCCTTGTCCTCCTCCTTCCTCTGCTTTCCGCATGCCCGTTTCGGCACATCCCTCAGACGTGTCACGGCACCACAGGGAGCTCCATCGAAGAGCTTGGCGGGCAACGCTACATGGCGTCCTCCCCGCTCATTTCGGCACACCCCTCACACGATCCGTAGCCACAAAAGGTGCTCCACCGAAGGCCCCAGCGGGCATCTGCCCTTGTCTGTACGCCCCTCACACGGTTCGCGCCCCACACGGAATTCGGTATGCCTCCGCGCTTGTGCCCCGCAGCCCCCTAATAATCCACATTGTCCCGCGCGCGACGTACGTAGAGAGGGCCACGCCTTCCGCTACACGCATCCGCATAGGGTTGGACCCATCGACATGCTAATCTTCTCGGCGCCGTCAACGTCCTCGCTGTCTTCATCCCCGTCACTCCCTTAACCTCCGTTGTCTCCTTATCACAGTTCTGGCATTATCGATCCATCTCCATGTTTGTCATGAATGTCATCATCCATTCATCCGCATCATTTTCCATAGCTTTAAATGATCAGAGATGCCCATGTCCTTGCCTCTTCCTACCCATCCTGCTCGTTCGCTCTCGTCATGAGCCTGGTGGTACCAATCCCAATCGCTAGTATTACCAAGCCGCTCTTCTCGCTCCCTCCTCCTCGCCCCTTTCCCATCGTCGTCATAACAGCCTCAACGTATTTCCTCGTCCTTCCAATCCTTCTCATGTCCCCGTCAGTCATCATAAGCAGCACACCCCTCCCATCCTCTGCTTCACTCTGGTCTCTTCCCATCCGCAGCACCTCTGCGCCAAGAGCACTTCCTTCGAGCTACATGTTTCTGCCTCGCTGACATGGCAGGCTGCACCGCCCTGGGTGCCTGAAGCGGCGACCTGAGACATCGACGACACGTCAGAGTGACCCTCCGCCAGAGCGACCTCAGGACGCGTGATGCTCTTGGGGAAGCCCAAGCACGCAGGCCGCCAGTGTCGCATCGCACGCGGCAGTCGGCACGTCGCACGCCACAGGTCGCTCTTGCCCGGGGCCACTCCTGCGCGCAGCCGAGAGCATGCTGCTGGGTGTGGCCGCCCTGGTGCTCGTCCACTCTGCGGCTGGGCTCGAGGTTCGGCAGGCCGAGCCATGGGAGCCGAGCGGGGAGCTGGCCCCTCCGGCCGCCCCGGGCGCGGCTGGCCCGGGCGGCGAGGATCTCTATGTGGACAAGTCGGGGAATTGAAGAAATCCTTCTCGTTGCACTTGCTCTCGGCCGTCCTCGGCGTCACCCAAACATACTTATACTGTGTGTGCGTCGCCCCCCCTGGGGGCGACGCGCGCACCGAGAAATCTTCTAGTATACCCGTCGTGGCGGGCGCTTTCTGGCCACACCGCTCGGGAAACGATATACTACAGGATGGGTCTACTATCTGTTCGGGTCGGACACGCGCCTCCAAGGCGGACATCTAGTCATATAGTATTAGTATGTCTCTGTGCGTCCCACATCCTGCAGTTTCCGGTCCTCGTTTTGAGTCCGCTTTACCTCTGCCCCCCGCGTTTGTCCCATTGCGGCTCCACCGAAGGCTCCAACGGCGATGTTCCCATGGGATCCACCCGACTAGGCCGGCACACCCCTGACACGTTTCGCGCGCCACAGGGAATTCGGTATGGCTCTGCGCCTGTGCCCCGCAGCCCTCTTGCTACACTGTCCTGCGGCGCGCCCATCAATGCAGAGAGGGCCACGCCTTGCGCAACATACATCTGCATCAGGTCGGGTCCATCGCCAGGCAAGTGTTCCTGGGTAGCGGCACTTCGTAGTTGCATGTAGTGGCGGTTCCGCCCTGCGTTGGCACCCCTCTAGCAGCGCGTAGCGGCCACTAGTTGTAAGACGGCTCTGCTCGACTGCGACCTTCAGAATCTCGGGCCCGTTACTTGAACCCCAAGCGGCAGATCCTGCTTGCCTCCGCCCCCCTCTCCCACAAGGTGGTTGGGACGGGCAAAATCCTCATCATCCCATGTGTCGGTTTTCGTACCTGCTCGTGATCTGAGTGGCCTTCTGCGTGGAGGCAGAAGCTTCACTCTTACACAGAGTATAATACTGTTGCTACGCACTACTACCGCCTTTCTTCGATGTGGCCCGCATTCGGGCTAAACGGGGACGAACACGGACTCTCTTATTATGGTCGCCTCATTCTCGTCCTCCTTCTTCTGTTTCTCTTCGTCATTCTTATCCTCCTCGCTCTCATTGTCTTGCACATCCTCGTCGTCGTCGTCCGCAGTTAACTCCAAGGGGGGGTTGGAACACCAGCACCACAGGAGCAATAGCACAATACACAGAAACCAATTGCTGATGCCTGGAAACCCAACAAGTGAAGCTACACGGCAAAGATTCAACCAACAACATGCATGCTTATTCTGCGGAGTGCCCGGGGTCCTAAGCAGAAGAACCTTCAAGCTCGCGGTGATTTGGTTTCCAATGGGGCATCCTTCCGATGAAGGAGTCGCCAAGTGACCCTTCGCGCGCGCCAGTTTCATGTCCAACTTAAGATACAGTTATGCCCGTGACGGTGTCGAACATGCCTGACGTTTTGTTGGCACCGCTTTCAAGCAGTAGGAGGCGCCATGCTGGTGTATAAAGTCAAGCGGTCCCGCAGCGCGCGCCGCTTGGGCTCTCAAATCAACACGCACTTGTCGCGGGTGCGTCGTGTTGTCGAGCGCACAAAGCGAGCGCTAATGCGCGGCCTCGCTCGAAAGTTCGGCAGTTCCCGTTGGCTTGGAAACTCAAGTGGCCCCTTCACGTCCGCTCCCTGGATTCAATTCAACATGTTGGTTTCACACGCCTGTCGCTCTCAACTTACCGGCCGCACGTTCAAAGCTCGTTCGGGCGCCGATGCGCTGCTTTAGTTGTAGGATTGCCAACATGAAGGAGCCTTTGGAAACGACAAGTGGGCCCTTAGCGCGCGCCGATCGGACGTCCAATCTAGCACGCAGCAACCGCATTTCACGTACATTGCGCCCCATAAAAGGAGCGCGAGCGCGCTTGTCCTGCAGCTTCGGAGCTGCGAGGGGCAGCTCTGCTCTCCTCGTCCTTGTCTTTTTGGCGCCCCCCTCTCCCAAACTATAGGTGGATATAAGCGGTCTGCTGTTAGCCTCTGGCGTCAGCTTCTGATCGTACCCTTTGTATTATTGTATGCCTCCTTTTTCCGTTCTCCCATGGTATACAGTTGTTTTCGCTTCAACGCTTGATGTATGTCTGTTTCTCTCTCTCTCTCTCTCTCTCTCCCGTTCCTGTTGTCGCATGTTTTTTTGTGTCCCTCTTTCTCTCTCTCTCTCTCCTTCTCCATTTCTCGACAAATATAATCAGTATGCATAGTTCTTTACTTATCTCTCTCTCTGTCTCTCACTCTCACTATCTCACGTGTTCTACCTCGCGCATGTTGTTGTTTATTTTTCTCTGCCTCTCTCTCTCTCTTCCACTATCACTTGTGTTCTCTCTATTTCTCTGCCCATATATATATATATATATAGGTGCATACATATGTATGTACAGATATGTGGATGTTCCATTCTTCCTTAACCTATTATATATACGTACCTGCATGCATACTTAATACATTCAACAATCCAATAAATGTATCAGTTGTATACGCTGACAAACACACACACACACACACTGAAACGTTTTCCAAACAGCTGTGCACGCCCGAAATGCAAGCCGCCTGCAGATGGAATGGGCCTGTCTGTGATCCGTTCCATCGCCGTCTTTGCTCAAGTTTTTCGGGCGGCACCGCCATCCCAGCCTGCATGGGCATCCTCGGTTTCTGGAGCAGAGCCGCGCGGGGCGGCCTCGCCATACTTGATTCTTGGGCCGGGCCTCGGGTCGCTGGCCGAGGAGACATCTAACTGTGCACTCGCCGTGGGCTCGTGTGGAAGTATCCGAGCGCTTGTGATTGTGAGCTTCATCACCGGCTTCTTGATCGGGGTTGGCCTGTCGCTTTGCTGCTGCGTCTCCGGCCATGTCCTATCTTCGATCTGGCCGGCGCGTTCGCATACAGTGGGAGAGGGGTGGCACCTGGCAGGATCGGATGTTACTATGCGAGTGCCAGAGTTCAGAGTGCGAAGCAGAGCTAGAGTTGACCCCCGGCAAGGAGGATATCCTCGGCCGCCGCGTGTGGTACGCTCTCACTCCGGACCTGGACGTATCCCCCCAAATCCTGTCGGAGACGCAGCTCGTCGGCTTCGTGGCAATGACGAACGACGGGACGCCGATCTCGGAGTCGGGGTTTGGGAAATGGTGGAGGGCAGCGAGTGCGGCATACGGCGCCGACTGGGGGCCGACCGCGCTCGAGGTCTGCGAGGCGTTGGAGGCGGTGAGGCCAGGGTGTCTGTCGCTGCCAGGCGACGAGAGGCCATCCAGGCGCTTGAGGGGGAAGGTGTGTTCGAAGTCGACTCCAGCGGCAGCAGCGGCAACTAGTGTGGTGGAGGGAGGAGCTCTACCCAGGTTTGCTGGCGGGGTCAGGTGCACTGCCTGACTTCGGCGGACTCAGCTGGTATGCCCTGTCGGCGGATGACGCCACCCAGCTGCGCCAGGCAGTGAGATCCAGAGACTTCGACGGCTACCTGATCGTGGACAAAGTCGGCATCGCGACCAAGGGGACCGAGTGTCTGCTGGTCAAGGCCGTGGACCCCGCCGCTCCAGGCCCGGAGCTCGAGTCGGACGCGCGGGTGCTAGACATCAAGACGCAGCCCGACGGCAGTCGACATCGACATTTCACGGAGGCCGCGCGCCAGGTCACCACCACGGAGTGGCCCGAGTGGCCCATCCTAGGTCCGAGGACGGCGTCCTGGTGCCTGGATTTTCTGGCGCGCCAGGACCAGCACCCACGTGCGCGGCACGCCAATTGGGTGCACGAGTGCCGGCTGGAGGCCACGGACGAGGGCGTCGGGGACCACGACCTCGCGATGCGGATGGCGGGGTTGGGCCTCAGCTTCGACCAGCTGAACCTCGGGGAGCTGGCCTCGTTCGAGCTCTTGATGAGGAAGGCCCAGATGGCCGAGTGGAGCCATCGTGATCGACTCGCGGCTTCCCAAGGTGATGACCTGATGGAGGAGAGCTACCTCTATCTCCGCGCGGGGGAGACGCCCGGCTCGGCGATGGTGTCGCCGGCCCTGGTCGACCACATCAATCAGGAGATGCATCGCGAGGCGCAGATCCTCAAGGAGCGCCGCAATGCCAAGGAAGAGAGGCTGCTCTCGCGTGGCGGAGGCGGCGGAGGCGGTTCAGGCTCTGGGGGGTCAAAGGCGGAGTTGCACAAGAAGATCCAGCAACAGGCCGCCGAGTTGAAGAGATTCCAGGACAAAGGTGCAGGGGGGGACCAGGCGGCTGGCCGTGGGGCCGGCCAGGGCCACTGACGCAGCCACCTGGGCTCGCGCCCCGCGAGCTGCTGCCCCTGAGCGGCTTCGCGGCGGCGCGAGGTGCCGGCGGCCCCGCTGGGCTGTCGAGATCGGTGCACTCGAGAGTGCGCCGCCGCCTGCACGTCGCGAACTGGATAGCCGACGCGGCCGAGAGCTTGAACGCCCTGTACGGTCACGGTGGCGCCCGAGATCATTTTTCCGCTTTAGCTGGGCAGCGTCGCAGCCTGGAATTCGCGCAATCTATCATCGGGCAGGCAGGCCCGCCCCCTCGCTCACCCGCGGCAGCCCGCGCGGAGCTGCGCGGCCACCAGCCGGGCTACGACATCGAGCCCGAGCATCCAGCCCAGTACCAGAGGGAGATTCCCCCCCTGCCGGGGCCAGGCGCGCGCTGCGGTCCCAGCGACGTCTTGCGCGGCCTCGAGCACGATCAGTGGGTACATTGGGAGAGACATTTGTTGAACGCCTGCGCCAGACTACGACATCAAGCTGCACAACGATCGCAACCTCATGGCGGACAGGCGGTGCTATGCACAGTTCATCCTGGACCTGTATACCTCCGGCCTCATTAGAGTCGGTGCTAAGCGCAGTGCCACGGTGGGCGTGCTCTGCGTTGGGAAGAGCGGACGGCAGCGCTTCCGGCTCATCTTCGACACGCGTCGAGTTAATGCACGTTCTCACGATCCCGATCATTCTCAGCTGCCCAGTGCAGCAGCTTGAGCCGCGCTGCGGACGGAGCCGATTTCTTCTCTGAGCATGGCCCAGGCTGACGTGGACAATGCCTTCTACCGAGTGAGGCTCCCTGACAAGATGGACGAACATTTCTCGTTGCCCAGTGTGCATCTGGGTACGCTCCGACAGCTGGCTGATGAGGCGGGGATCGACATGGACCTGCCCGAGTCCCGCTTCGGCTCGCCACTCCTGCAGGTGCCGCCGGTGGGGTGGGCGTGGAGCTTCTACTTCTTTCAGAGAGGCTGCTGGAGACCACCGTGCTGCGGTCAGGGATTGACACCGGTCCGCTGATCAAGGACCGACATGCTCCTCTCCAGGTTCGCACCAGCTCGACCCAACCTGGCGTGTGCGTCGACAACGTGTGCATCGTCGGCGGCGACGGCGACCGCTGTGTGGCCGACTGTGGCGCTGTTGTTGGCAAGCGGGAGGAGGTCGGCCTGAAGTGCAAGGGCGTGATGGAGCTGGGCGACCTGCAGACCTTCACGGGCATCACCTTCGAGAGGCGCAGTGGCGGGGTATCGGGGTCAGTGCGGCTCGGATGTGGAGAGTTCGCTTCGCGCTGCTGTTCGTGGCAGACCGCCGCTCAGCCACTGGGGACGAGATCTTCAGCTTGCTCGGACACTTCACTTGGGCCGCCTTGCTGAGGCGGCCTCTCCCTATTTTTTTCAACAGACTTACATCTTCGCCCAGGTTGCTGGGCGCCGCCGGCTGCGACTGTGGAGCCGCGTGGAGCTCGAGTTGCGGCAGGCGGCTGCGCTGCTGATCTTCGCCTTCTCCGACTCGAAGAAGCCCGACAGCACCTTGGCGCGCGCCTCTGACGCTTCCAGGGGACAAGCCGGCTCGGGAGGCGGCTACGGCGCGGTGGGCCAGACATGGGCCAACGAGCTCGTGGAGCACACCGCGGCGTCGGCCGAGTCGTCGCGATATTCAGTGCTGGGCGCGATCGGGGCCAGGGAGTGCGCGCTGGGCTTCGACCCGGTCGAGGGGGCCAGGGTCGGCCGGCACCGGGCGCGCGCTGGCTCCACCAGCTTCGGGGGCGTCGGACGGGCCGCGATCGGAAACTTTAGTGACTGGGGGGTCTTCTTCCATGGCGAGTTCCAGCGCGATGGGGATATCGCAGTCCTGGAGGGCCGGGCGGCGGCGATGGCTGCGCGGCACGCTGTGCGAGGGCGCCGCGGGCACGGCCATCGGCGTCTCATTCTGGTCGACGGCCTCGGGCTTGCCCTCGCGGTTGGGAAAGGGCGATCTCCCTCCATCACTCTCAATCATGTCTTGCAGCAGCTGTGCGCCGCTTCCATTGTCATCGACACCACCTTCATTCTCAGATGGGCCCCTTCAGAGTGGAACCCGCGGACAGGCCCTCTAGGCCCAGGCCTCAGCGCACGCGGGGCGCCCGCGCTGACCCCCGGCACGCCGCGTATCTTGGAGGCGCGTCGGACGGCCCAGGTGGTCACCAAGCCCTATGGCGGGACGTTGATGCGCTCGTGCGGAGGCGCCACTGCCGCGGCGGCCCGACCTCGGAGCCGCAGCCCGCCGACCCCAGCAGTCCTGGCGCGGCCGGGCTCGGGGACACACTCCATGACGACCCCTGCCCGCTCGGTGGGCTCGCGGGCCTCTTCAGCGGGCCGGGCGGTGGCGGCGCGGACTCCGACAGCTCTTCGACTTCGAGTTCCGAAGTCTTCAGCGACGGGCAGTCCGAGGCCGCCGCCGGCGAGGGCCGAGGCCCTCCGCCTGGCCAGGGCGAAGGCTCGCCAGTCAGCCCGCCGCGGCGTGCGCGAGCGAGCCCGGGCCGAGGGGCTCACGGTCTTGCAGAGCCTGAAGGTCGGCAGCGCATCGCGGGTCTACTTCCAGGAGGAGTACCTGGACTTCGTGAGTTGGGCCCGTTCGAGGGGGCCGTCGACGCTCGGGGCGCAAGCGATCGACTCGAGCTTCGCCCAGTACCTCGATTTCCTCTTCTGGGAGGGCCACAACCACCACAAGGGGGACAAGGCCTTCGCAGCGCTGAAGCACTACAACCCGGGGTTGGGGCTGAGCTCGGCGGCGGCGCTGGAGCGGACCACCGCCGGGCTGCGGGGCTTCCGCAAGCTCGCGAGGGGCTCGACCCAGGCCCCCATGGCGAGGGAGCTGCTGTTCGCGGCCGTGGGCATCGCTCTGCACCGAGGTTGGCGCAGCTTCGCCATCGCCCTGGCCCTCAGCTGGGGCGCGATGATTCGGCTGCCGAGCGAGCTCGTGGCAATGACGCGCGCGACCTTGGTCGCCCCGCGCCTCGGTCAGGCCGTGCTGCGTGGGGCCTCCTGCTGTTCCCAGAGGAGCTCAACCAGGTCAGCAAGACCCTGGGCTGCGACGAGGGCGTCGTCTTGTCGGACGAGATGTCCTCCGCGCTCGGGCCCGAACTGGCCAGGCTGTCGCGTGCGCGCACGGGCCGCCAGGCGCTCTGGGACTTCGACGCGACGGCCTTCAACTCCAAGTTCAGGACGGTGCTCGACCAGCTGGGCCACCAGGACTGCCACCCGCACCAAGTGCGCCACGGCGGGGCCTCGTTCCGAGCGGCGGTGCTGGGCGAGAAGCTGGCGGACATCCAGGCCATGCTGAGGCACCAGTCGGACGACTCGACGGAGAGGTATGCCCGGCACGTCAGGCACTTCGCGGAGGTAGGCTAGCTGAGCCCCGAGGTCACTGGCTCGCGGAAGTACCAGGTGTACCTGGACCTCTTCAGTGGCACTGGCAAGGTCGGGAGCTGGCTGGAGCGGAAGTCGGGCTACGCGGTCCTGCGGATCGACGTGGCCGCCCACCCCGCTCTCGACCTCTCGCGGCGCGTGTGCGGCGCCATCGTGATAGGCTGGCTGGGGGTTCGCATCGTGCGTGGCGTGATGTGTGCACCGCCTTGCAGCACTTGGTCTCAGGCCTCTCGTCATTTTTATCGCTCGCCTTATGCCTTGAACGGCCTGCCAGGCCTGCCAAACAAAGCTGCTGCTAGGCTTCGCGTAGGCAATGCCACTTTCCATTTCGCCATGAGAACGGGCCTCGAATGCAAACGCCTCGGGATTCCTTTCGTGCTCGAGAACCCTCGGTCGTCTATGATGTGGTTGCATCCTCGCATGCTGCTCCTCTCTCGCTCCTCTTGTAAAGACGCCAATGTAGATTTCTGTCAACACGGTACCAGATGGAGAACAGCTATTCGTTTCCGCGGATGGTGCACTTGCGCCCCGCCTCAGCCCCTGTTGCGCAGATGCCAAGGGCGAGGCGGATTCTGTAGCAAGACTAATATCAGGCATATCTCTTTGGGAGGCGGTGGGCCCGGAGGCAAGCGATGGACAGCCATCGCCGAGCCTTGCCCCGCCTCTGTCGCCGCTGCCGCGGGTCTCTGGATCCACCGCTCTGCTGAGCGTCGTCGGTCCGTTCGTCTTGCTAACCTCATATCCCGCTAATGTGCAAACCTAGCCTGCGTATATTATTTGAGTGACTGGGATGGCGGCTGCCAGGCATTCAGTATGGTCTATGGCCCTCGTTGTCTGTTGAATGTTCGATCCTGATTGCGAAGCTCCTCGAGGTCGTATGGCAATTGCCCTCGCTCTCACCAGATCTGCGCCCTGGCAAGGAAAAGATCGGGCTGTGCATTGACATGTTGTCCAAACAGCTGTTCACGCCCTAAATGCAAGCCGCCTGCAGATGGAATGGGCCCGTCTGTGATCCGTTCCATCGCCGTCTTTGCTCAAGTCCCCCTCCTCCTCGCCTCCTCCACTGTTCTACGTGTGCGTGCCTGTGCAGTTGGCCCTCGTTTTCTGTTGAATGCTCGATCTCGATTGCGAAGTTCCTCGAGGTCGTACGGCAATTGCCCTCGCTCTCACCAGATCTGCGCTCTGGCAAGCAAAAGATCGGGTTGTGCATACATATATACATATGTATATACATATATAAACATACATCTACATATATACATGCACACATGTGTGTTCATACATCTATACATATTTGCACATGTCTGTGGCGCTCTCTCTCTCTCGTTCTCTCGGCGATGGGCGGTTGCCCGACACCGGTTCAACACGCCACAGCGGGCTTGGACGGATAAGCGCACTTGCGCATCGGGGTTCACACAGCCTCACATCAACCCCCCTGGGGCTGGACGACGATAGTCTCGCCGCAGCGCGCTGCAAGGGACAAGGCAGTAGTAGCAGTATGTAGCAGTGGAAGTTGTGGTAGCTGTGGTAATGGAAACAGTAGGCTTAGTCGTAACAGTCGTACTCGTAGTAGTAGTAGTAGTAGTAGTAGTAGTAGTAGTAGTACTAGTACTAGTACTAATAGTACTAGTAGCAGTAGTAGTAGTAGTAGTAGTAGTAGTAGTAGTAGTAGTAGTAGTAGTAGTAGTAGTAGTAGTAGTAGTAGTAGTAATATAGTAGTAAAAGTAGTAGTAGTAGTAAGTAGTAGTAGTAGTAGTAGTAGTAGTAGTAGTAGTAGTAGTAGTAGTAGTAGTAGTAGTAGTAGTAGTAGTGGTAGTAGTAGTAGTAGTAGTAGCAATAGTAGTAGTAGCTGACGCAGTAGTAGTAGTAGGAGTAGTAGTAGTAGTAGTAGTAGTAATAGTTTGTGGTGGGGTGTACTACTAGTCTGTTTGAAACTTGTAGTAATCGCATTCCTTTTATTTTTATTAGTAGTAGTATTAGTTGTAGTAGTAGTAGTAGTAGTAGCAGCAGTAGTAGTAGTAGTAGTATTCGTAGTAGTAGTAGTAGTAGTAGTAGTAGTAGTAGTAGTAGTAATAGTAGTCGTAGTAGCAGTGGTAGTAGTAGTAGAAGTAGTAGTAGTAGTAGTAGGAGTAGTGGTAGTTGTACGAGTAGTACTAGTAATAGAAGCAGTGGTAGTAGTAGTAGTAGTAGTAGTAGTACTAGTAGTAGTAGTAGTAGTAGTAGTAATCGTGGTAGTAGTAGTAGTAGTAGTAGTAGTAGCAGTAGCAGTAGTACTAGTAGTAGTAGTAGTAGTAGTAGTAGTAGTAGTAGTAGTAGTAGTAGTAGTAGTAGTAGTAGTAGTAGTAGTAGTAGTAGTAGTAGTAGTAGTAGTAGTAGTAGTAGTAGTAGTAGTAGTAGTAGTAGTAGTAGTAGTAGTAGTAGTAGTAGTAGTAGTAGTAGTAGTAGTAGTAGTAGTAGTAGTAGTAGTAGTAGTAGTGGCAGAGGTAGTCGTAGTAGTACTGATCGGTAGCCGTAGTAGTTGTGGTAGTAGTAGTAGCAGTAGTAGTCGTAGTGGTCGTAGTAGTCGTAGTAGTAGTAGTAGTAGTAGTAGTAGTCGTAGTAGTAGTAGTAGTAGTAGTAGTAGTAGTAGTAGTGTAGTAGAGTAGTAGTGTAGTAATAGTAGTAGTAGTAATATGTAGCCGTAGTAGTAGTAGTAGTAGTAGTAGTAGTAGTAGTAGTCGTAGTAGTAGTAGTAGTAGTAGTAGTAGTAGTAGTAGTAGTAGTAGTAGTAGTAGTAGTCGTAGTAGTAGTAGTCGTAGTAATAGTAGTAGTAGTAGTAGTAGGAGTTGTTGTAGTAGTAGTAGTAGTAGCAGTAGTAGTAGTAGTAGTAGTAGTAGTAGTAGTACTAGTTGTAGTCGTTGTAGTAGTGGTAGTAGTAGTAGTTGTAGCACTGGTACTCGTAGTAGTAGTAGTAGTAGTAGTAGTAGTCATAACAGTAGAAGTCGCACTGGTAGTCGTAGTAGTGTTAGTAGTAGTATCACTCGCAATATCGATAACAGTGGTAGTAGTAGCTCAAGTAGTCGTAGTAGTAGTAGTAGTAGTAGTAGTAGTAGTAGCAGCAGTAGTCGTAGTAGTAGTAACGTTCGTAGTCGTAGTAATAGTACTAGCAGTAGTAGTAGTAGCAGTAGTAGTAGTAGTAGTAGTAGTAGTAGTAGTAGTAGTGTCTGTAGCAGTATCAGTGATCGTAGCAGTAGAAGTTGCAGTAGTAGTAGCAGTATTAGTAGTTGTTGTTGCAGTAGTAGTAGTAGTTGTTGTTGCAGTAGTAGTAGTAGTTGTTGTATAGTAGTAGTAGTAGTAGTAGTAGTATCAGTACTCGAAGAAGAAGCCGTATTAGTAGTAGTAGTAGTTGTTGTTGTCGTCGTGCTGATGTATCAGTGCGCGTCGTACTCATTGGAGTAGCATTAGTAGAAGAAGTTGTAGTAGTAGAAGTAGGGAAGATCATCTCCTGGCCACTTCACTTTAAAGAGGCTTTCGTATATAAGTTGGCTAAGGCTTTACCAATTGGAGCACTCTTGGAACCCAGAAAGGTTCCAGTATGATTCCGATCACTCTATAGGACCTCCAAATGAATTTTGGTTCCCCACAGCAATTCAATCGAAGTGCTTGCTTTCAAAGAGATCTCAATAAGAATATTGGTTTTCAGCAGACACTGACTTGAAATACTGTTGATTTGCAGTGCGAGTTCCATCGGGTTTTTCTGGCACTCAATGATAATTTGATGAGACAAATTGGCTTTCAACGGAGATCTGATCGGAGCCCCGGTGGTTAACGTGAAACTAGCACACAATATATTAGCTTTAAAATGGTGTTCAATCGGGGTATGCTCGCAGTTTTGGTGTCCAACTGAACAACAACTGAAACTTGTTGCCCGACAGAGATCATCGAACAAGAGCATCGGTTTTCAGCGAACCGCAAAAAGGACTAGAAATAGTCGTGTTCATTACGCAGTTGTTGCTTCCTCTGCAAAACAACAGGAACCCAATCCCGGACTATTGGTTGCTTTGGGGATGCAAGAGAGACGTGTTTTTTCCGATTGGAACTCAATATCGTTATTTGTGTCCAATACGGGGGCTAAACAGAAATATGCTATGTCAAGCGGAGTTCCATTGAATCATTTGTCATTTAGGATTCAAGTATTAACTTTGGTCTCCAATAAGAATTGAAGTGTCATCGTGTGTTCACCGGGAATTCAACGGACATGTTGATTGACGCCAACAAATAATCAATCGAAGCAGCGTTTCTCAGTAGGACATCGTCCAACAGAAAACTAGTAGAAAGAATGTATTGCCAGTGGTAAGCGGTTAGAACTATGGCTTTCAGGTGGACCTCCATCGAAATATCTGTTGTCGCCAACATGGGTGTAATAGAAGCAATTAGTTTCAATAGGGACTCAATCTGAATAGTTTCGTCTAGTGGACATCGGACATCGATATATCTATATCTATATATATATATATATATATATATAAATATAACTAGACGCTTCGCGTATCCGCACCAGTATCGACCTCTGCGTGTTTATGGTCGGCACGCCGCGCCATTTTGGCTGCGCTTACTTGCTGGTCGCCACCGGGATTTCCAACGCCACCGGGTTTGGAGTATCAGTTCTGGATATCCTTCTGAGTGGCTGCCCGTTCGCTCGTTTCGCTTGCCTTTCTTCTCCTGCTGCCTAGTCGCGGCCCGACTAGTGTTCGGACGGCGTTCGGCCCGCCTCGCGAGCCTGTTGACCAAAGTATCCGCACCAGTTCTGGCTTGTGCACTCACCGTCGCCCCTCGGCGCTCTTCGAGTCCAGGCCACTGTCCCATGCCTCCTCGGACGGGCTCCCTCTTGCTCCTCCCAGGGTTCGGGGAATGCGGCGACCTCGCTCGTCGACCGCGCTGGCCCTGGAGTTGGCCTGATGGATTGGTGGCTGCAAGTGCCCTACGCACCCCGCCCTTTCTGCTGCTGGTGGTCCACTCCGTGGCCTCCCCGGGTCTCGCGACATCCCATCTGGGTGTTTGGTTCGGTTTCGTTAAAACCTATTACAAGTACAGGCAGTTCGGCAAGGAGCGGCCGTCTACTACTTGGTCTGAGATCGAGCTGCGGCTTAGCTTTTTGTCTTCCTGTCTTGTCTTCCTCTC